AAATAGCCTGAAAATATATGTAAATGCATAAAAAAGACTTTCTCTGGTAAATGTTTAACTTCTCTTACCTGTGGCTGACGGCACGAACGTCCGTCAGTCGGGAAAACAGCCAGTTTCTATCTTTAGTGGTCAGTAACGCCCCCAGCTGTTTGGACTTGACAAAGTGTTCAACAACAATATCTAAACTCCGGCGGTAGGAAGCTTCAGAGGTTACTACTTCAAATCTCACCTAAAAAGTAAAATGCACAGTAGAGAAATACATGAGAAAGATTAAAACATTGACCAAGAGAGGACTAGATGGTAAATTATAGCTAACAAGCAGGGAGTTGTCAGTTCTCTAGAGATTGGGACACTTTGACAAGGATGTGACTAACAGAGGGGCTTGATTTCACAACAAACTGTTCCAGCATTCATCTGCGTTAAGGTTTACAGGCAGACACCTACAGGACCAGAGAAACACACCATATTTATGCAATCACAGCTTCTGGCAAGAAACACTCCTCTACCAATAAAATGAAGATTAATAGGAGGGTTATTCTGTGATGTGGCAAGTCTGAATCTGTGTGATTTTAATAGTTAGATGTGTGGTTATAACAGTAAAAAGCTGATTCATCTAAGTCATGCCATTTCCCAAAAGACACCATCAAATGGAAAGGAAAAGAGGCTGCAGATGTGTAATCCAAAACTGTCTGCTTATTTGGAAGTGGTAAACAAACACAAGGAGGTGAATCACTAAAATGGTAAGGGGTGAAACATAATAACCTAAAAAAAAATGCATTTCATATTCATCACAGAAAAGCTGCAGGGAAAGGAAAGATGATGTCACAGGAGGATTCTCTGGAATATTACTGATGCAGGAATGTTGTGCCACAAACCCTCACACTGAAGGAACATATCATTTTAGTTGCGCTAATCAACATTTCCAGTCTAATTGATATTAAAATCCTTTATACAAGCTGGATGACAGAAGTGAAGTCACAGGAAAAGTGAAAGAAAACATCAAACATTCAATTGCTCAGAAATCTCCTGGAATCTTGTGCCAGCAACTTTCCAAAGACAAAGACAACAACATTTCTGTTTCAGTGAAGTTAAAAGGAATCAGAAGGCAAAAATCTTTAATGTTATATAAGCAATGAGCAGTTAGTTGGTGTGTTACCTCCTGTAGTCGCATCTGGTCCTCTGTGAGCTCCTCCAGCTCATGGCTGTTCCTAACCCCCGGTAGGTCCCTCCACAGTGTGGCCGACTGTGTGAGTGAGATGGAAAGGCGAGGAGAGGGTGACCTGCCCTCACTCTTGGGGGGCTCTGGGAGAGGCAAGCTTTGGATACTGGTGATGGACCCTGTCTGGAAAAACGAGTGGGGGTGCAGGACAGGAGGCAGGGCAGGAAGAGGTCTGCGGGCAGGTGGTGGTGAGGGAGCAGGTGACGAAGTACCGCCTTCACGCACATGGAGGACATCAGACCTAGACTGAGACAGGATCTCAAAGTTCTGTGCTGCCTCATTGTACTGCTGGTAGAGCTGAGTAGCATCTGGGAGAAAGAGAGGTGAGAATATGGTAGAGAAAGCAAAGGAAAAAGACAGATAGAGACAGGAACAGTGTTAACCAAGAGGAGTTGTTTGCATTTGACATTCCTTTGACACATACTTGTCAGAATGCAAAGTTACAGCAGCAGCTGTTTTTTCTCAAGAGAAACGAATGCTTGCAGAAACCTGTCTGTGGCTTGTACAGTCACACATACACAGTACGTACACACACACACACTCACTCACTCCTGCCCCAGTTCTTGCAATATCCAAGTGAATCATAGGTTAAAAGAACCACTGCCCTTTTTGGTTGTTTCAAATTTCATTTTTATGGAGTGAGCCAAAAGTAAATTGCACATTAATAAACAGTTAGTGTGTTGACACAAATGAATCGGGCACATTGAAGGGAAATACTGAGCTGCGTCACACTTTTCCCGACCACAGTCAGAGCAGATATAATCGGAAGGCACGTCACTTGCCTACACAAGCTTTTCTTGTAAACAATCTTAAGATTATAAAATAAATTGTTCAACTGTCAGTTTAAAATGTTAAAGAGGTCATATGCAACAACATATTTTGAAAATAGGCATTAATAAAGTGGATGTGCTTGATTTTTCTATGAGGAGTTTAACTAAACCTTTGGAAGGTGCACGCCCTGAATGAAGTGAAGTGGTGCAGAGATACTCACTGAAAAACTTTGATTTCCTTTTATGTCTCTGAAGTGTGTCTAAAACATTCCTATATTGCCCAGAAAGAGACAAAACAACATTTTATTAATCACTGTTAATTGTCACTATGAATGTTTTTTTGTGTGTGTGAAGCATTTGTATTGAATGTGCAATTATAGGATTGTGTTGAGAGTTAAACCTTTTAAAACCAGGGAAACTAAATCAAATATTTAAAAATGTCACAGAGCTTATCATATTGCATGCGATTGTTTCACTCACCTCAGCTCCACTCCTCCCAGGCTTCTGCTGCTATCATCCTCGTCATCTGGAATACAAAAGTATTCGTACGTCCAGACGTTATACAACTGCATACCCCTCAGTGCAATATAGTCAAACAAATTTACTACTAATTACTGTTGAATGAATGACAAACTGAATGAAAACAAATAAATAAATAATAAAACAAATAACAGTTAGTTAACTTAGTAACCCTGCTGCATCAAGCATCACAGAAGTGATTAGTGTGTTTCCAAAACTCATGCTTCTTGTATTATGTATCCTTAGAGCAGGATCAGCCCAAGCTTTTAGCTCATGCTTCTGGTTTACCCTTGCTTTCTCCACCTCCGCTTATCTCCACCCATGCTACTGTGACGCAGTTTCCAGTTTAATGGTAATGTCTTCAGATCATAGCACTGATAATATCTACCATCAGAAATCTGCCTTAGATCTTGGGTTCTGAGTTTGATACAACAACAAAATGACACAAGAAAGAGAGAATATGACTAGAAGATGACAAAGAAGAAAAATACACATTCATTTAAGGGTTGTTTCCCCTCTGGGTAATCTAGTGTGGAACATGTCAAACTAATTAAATGATTTGAATAATCTGCAATGCTGACAGATGAGAAACAAGACAGAAATTAAAAATGAAAGGAGGTGAGGTAATTACATGGTTTTCTGCAAACATTTTGGAGTGTGTTTTGAGCAGATAACCAGCTGTCCTCCATCTTCCTTCTTTACCTGTTAGAGAGAATATTCTCGTTCTTCGATCCCGTGCAACACCTTCCTCTTCTTTCACTTCGAAAAGTTCTCCGTTCCTTCTTTCTGTGGTTTTACGGATTCCCCTTCTTCGCATTCGAGCCTCAGGGCCCAAATCTCGGAAACTGTCAATCATCTGAGTCCCTCCTTCTATTTTTCCCTCTGCCATCACCTCTCCTCTGCCTTCCACCTCAACTGCTTCTTCAACTCTCGTCTTTCCCACCTCCTCTGTGGTGCCCATCTCCTCAGGCTCCTTTTCCGGCATTTCTTCTTCACTTTCACCCATTCCGTCTTCCACCTCCTGCTTCTTACTCTCGCTGAAGGGGACGGGGAGGTCAGAATCTGATTCATAATTAAGAATGGGGCAGCTGTTATGCTTGTACAGCATGTTGCTCTCAGGTAAACACAACTCCATTTCCGTTTCTCTGTGTTCTTCTTTTTCTATTTCCAATACCATGACCTCACCATCACCTCCCTCTTGAGTAATTTTCATTTCTCTATCTGCCTTTTCTAACTGAAGATGACCAGAAGGTTCAATCTCTCTCTCCATACCGTTATCCTCCACCCCTTCTCTGTCTAACTGTGTCTCAGCAAGAGTGTGTGTAGGTGTGTCACCATGCATAGTTGTGAACTGGTCAGCATGCATGTCACCTTGGCTCTGCCCCATACCTCTCAATCCCTCCACCTCCAATGGAACGTCCTCCTCCAGCTCTGACTCTGCGTGTTCATTCGTTGTCAGCTTAACAACAGGAATCTCTTTAGTCCCTTGTGCAAGCACCTCCTGTTCTTTGCCATTCTTGATTGCTGTCTCAGTCTCATTGACCCCTTGGTCTCCTTGTAGCTGAGAGTTAGGTTTATTCACAGTCTGTTCTTGTGAGTGTCCCAGGATCTTGCACACCACATTTTTGGCCCATTTAAGGTGGGGGGCTTGGGAATGCCTCTTAGGCTCATCGGACAAGCTCCATGCCGTGCTCATTTGGATCCGAATGGCCTCAATTTCTTCTGGACTTATTGCTCCACTGTTTAACCCATCTACAATTGATTGAATTTGTTCAAAATTCACCTCAGAACAAATATGGGCACTACTGGGTACTGGAGAAGGTTGCTTCCTTTCTGCATCTGCTAGTTCTTTATTTTTCTCCCTCCACTCTATGAGGAGTTTTTCAGTCTGTGATTCTCTTCTAATCTGCAATATTTCAGCACATGGGAGCTCCACTTGGCTCCTCAGTCCCTCCCTCGTCTCTGTGTCTTGAAGCTCTGTCTCTCGGTTGTTGATGGCTGGGTATTCGTCATTTCTAAACAGTGATGGATGCATGTCATCCTGAGATTGCTGTGCTGTGTCATCACTGTAGTGATGACACCGTTCTGAAATCGAGTTGTCTCTTTCCACACTTCCCATCTCATCAGCTTGTGACGGTGACATATCATCGTGATGTGACCGAGGCAAAGTTTGCCCAATTACACAGAAGACGTATTTTGGCTGCTTTTCCCTGCCTGGTTCCTCTTTATCAACGGTCTCCTCCTTCTCCGTTGTCAAGTCTTTATCCCACTCTTTGCCTCCCTCACACCCACTGAAGCCAACAGGTGAGGCATCGTCATAGGCAAGTCCTCCTTCCCAGAACTCCTGACAGTCCTCAAACTTCTCATCTTCATCGTCCTCATCTCCGCCACTGGACAAAGTCAAAAAGTCATCCTCTCCTGACAGCATTCTGTCTTTGTCGTGCTTCCACCCTGTCTCGCTTCCTCCTTCGCTCTCGAAGCGAAAATAACCAGTCCCACCCTCTTCCTCTCTGTCACCATCCTCTATGTTATCTGTCACATTCTCTCCCTCTGCATCCCTTTGCTGGCTCCCCTCTATCCCTTCATCATTGTCAGACAGCTGTTCCTTCCCTCCATTATCTGTCTCTCTCCAGACCTCCCCCACCTCCTCTCCATCTACACTTACACCCTCTGTCTTCTCTTCAACATCTCTCCTGTACTCGTTTCTCCCTCCATGTTTTCCTCTGTAACTGCTTTGGTCTGAATACGTCTCATTTGGTTCCTCTTTTACTCGCCGCCCCTCTCTTTCCCACTGGCCCTGTGACTCTATGCCTGTCTCTTCTTCTCTCTTCCTCTCTTTCCCCCTTGTGTGTATCTCTCTGTTTACAAATTCTTCTTTACTATTCTTGCCCCTCTGTGGTTCTAACCACATCCTCCTTTGTGCTGACAAGCTGCCTGTCGTTTCTCCTGTATCTCTCTCTTGTCTCTCGCTTCTCTTTTGCGCCCTTTGACTTCTTTCAGCAGTTCTCTCTGGATCTCTCTGTTCTACATCTCTTTCATCTGCAGTAGCACCTTCTCTCCCTGATTCTCTCTCTTCGTAACTGTGTCTGCTCCTATGTCTCATCTCAGTGTCTATGTCGCTGCTCCACTCCCCACTGCTCAGGGTCTGTCGTGGCACCCTAGGAGCTGTCTCATTCAAGAATCGGCTGCTTCTCCCTGTTGTATTATCCCACCTAGGATCAGCCTCTCTTTCCTTTATTTCCCTGTCTCTTCTCTGCTTATATTCTTTGTATTTGTCATCCTCACTTCTGTCATCCTTCAAGTCTTCTCTACTTTCCTTCCATGTTTCCCCTCCCCTGTCTGCCTCTCTAGCAGCTCTCCTGTCAGCCTCTCGATATCTCCCCCTTTCTTTCTCCACTCCCCTCTTCCTGGATCTATCCACTTCTATTTCTCTGCCCCTGTTTCTCTGTTTGTCCTCCCTGTGTCCCTGTCCATCTTGATCTCTCTCCTTTGCTCTTTTGCCCTTGTTGTCCCCCTCACTTCTGCTGTGTTTATACATCAAATCCTCCCTCTCTTTGTCCCTCACCCTTTCCCTCCTCAACTCTCTCTCATCACCGTCTCCTTCACTCTTCGTGTCCCTCTTTCCTTCTCTCCGCTGGACCTCTTGTCTTTCCTTGCTATCTGAGTAGATCTCTCTGTCTCTATACCTGCGTGGGGAAGGCATCTTGCCCTCACTCTCTGCCATGTTAGGCCTCAGCTTTTCTTTTTTTTGCCTTTCTCTTTTGTCCCGTAAATCACCCACTTCTCTTCTCCTGTCCTGAAATCTAGCATTAGACTCCGGATATCCTTCCCTCTGTCGCAATTTTTCATCTTCTACATGTCTTGCTCCAGTGTTTTTTCCCTCTTCATTTGCC